AATGTCTGTTTTTAGTCCACTGATGAAGTAGTTACACAGGTATGTTTCCCACATCACGAGTCACACCTAAGTGATCAGGTCTTGTAAATCCACTGTGGGTGTTATACACTTCTGTTAAACATGTGAGAAACGCTTCAGGGTCCTCAGCCTCTCTTTGTTTGCAGGATTGGATTTTGTCAGTATCGATGGAGGGAGGAAAGGCTTTGGTGATAGCTATGCAGATGTTGTTCACAGCTTCTCTATACAAAGCATTAGAGTCATGTTTCCAATCCACATGATTGCATCGCAGTTCAATGTTCTGCAGTTGATCAGCTGTTTTATGCCATTCTGTAGGTTTCATTTTCATGATCAACACTCTCCTCAGTTCACTCATAGTGGGTTTGAAGTCTTGACAAAACATGTTTAGTTCTTTAGCAAAAGTCTGACCTGATGTTGTGGGATTGGGCAGATGTTGAGATGCTGCAGATATTTCAGAAGAAGTCCATGGACGGAAAACTAATGTTGGATTTTGTTGACCAGAGACTTCAACCATTGGCATAGTGAGCGTTGCTTGTTCAACATGGCGGTGTAGTCTCTGAGCAGTGGATGAAAAGTCCTGTTGTGATGGGGGTGGTGGAGCTTTGAGTTGTGAGAAGTTATTTGGTGAAGGATCAGACAGCAACTGTTGAGACAAGAGTTCTGCAAGTTGGGCTGTTTCAATTCATACATTTCAGTTGCATCTTTAAAGAGAAGAGGTTGTTTGTACATAGATTTTCTTATTTTGCTCTCAGCTTCATCTTTCCACATTTTGACACAGTCCTTGTAATTTTCAATGTTGTCTAATTTTTTTATTAGAAATTTTACTTTTTCTCTCATTTCGACTTCAATCTCACATAACTTGTTTTCCAATGCCAGAACATTCTTTAAAGTGAACGCACCAAATTCTGAAGACTTCTTATCTCCACGTTTTCTTCTCAAAAAATCAACAATGGAACCTTCTGGTGGTGTATACTCCCTTGAAGTTTTGCTCCCCATTTTGTTTTTGCACTTGTAACTTCCAATATCTTAGTTTCAGTGGCTTAAAAAAGAGTGGTCTAGAATGTCCCAAAGGTGAGGAAATTAAGAGCGGGGATGGTCTTTGTTGTTGACACTGTAGTTGCAGCATGAGATTGTTGAGCCAAAAATATTGAAAGAGGGTCAATTGAGTAATTGAAATATGAGAATTTTAGCTATTGTGAGATTAATTAAAAAACCTATAGGAATAGGGTTAGAGTTTGGCATGTTTCAAAAAGTCCATTTAACTCCAATAGGAGGCACACTGTCCTTTGAACATTTCCAAGTGTTTGTAGATGAAGGTTTCCATTAAATTATCTTAAATGGAATGAAGTTTATTTTGCAAAAGTTCACCAAGCAAATCTTGTTCGAATCCAGCGGTGATGATCCAGGACAGAAGCCAATGTCCATCTATGTCTTTCTTTGCTCCATGCATCCGAGAAAAAACAAAAGCTGACAAAATTCCATTTGCGCTGTGTTCTGGACGGTCACTCGTGGATCCCACTTCTGACACCAAATTGTTGTGTCAAAAAATTATATATCTCTCTTGAAGATAAATAATGAATCCATTTGCGAAGCCCGATGAGTTTTTGGAATATAGACCAAGGTTTATTCTTGTTACAGCAGATATGGACAGGGCCTAGGCTTGTTTCGGCCAAAGCTCAACAGCCACCCCTGTCTCCTCCCGTCTCTTCCCATCTCCCTCTTCCTCAGAGCATTTGAGCTCTGAGTATTTATACAGAAATACAAGTTACATACATACCAAAGCAGAGTCACTATGGTTTCAGAGGGTGGTACTAAATTAACATACAGTTGAGGACAACAAAGGGCTTCCTGAAGGCGGAGACAGTTGTGCCTGATGAACCTTTACACATGTTAATGACTGGTCTGGGTTTCAGGTAGAAATCACATTCATTTACACAAAGATAGATTGAAAGAAATCTTTTCACAATCTAAATTTCTTTCACAGCATCATCTCACTTCACAAGAGAAAAGACACACAGAGAGAGAGAGAGAGAGAGCGAAAGAGAGAGAGAAAACGCCTGTAAGAAAACGCTTTCTGTCAGGAGTTCTCTGCATACAGAAGAACACACAAAAATTCATTCATCCGTACACCCTTTTCTTTGCACTAGTGAGGAACTCGGTATTTTTCTGTACTATGTTCAGATTTGAGCTGTGGAGGGTTGAATAAATCTCTTCAGTGGCTCATTTTAAATATAGACTAACTCCTCAAGTCATTAATTCTGCTTTTTATGTACTGCACTGTGTGCTTTTGTAACTTTATTGTACATTTACAATAGCTTTTAGGGATAAAACTGTTGTTGTGTCAGTGACATAAATTAGTTTCAGTCTTATTGTTTACATTTTCTTCAAAAATATATCATACTACAAAATGTGTAACTATGTGAATATTTTCAGATTTTTTTTTAATCATTCTTGACAAAATTAAAATAGATTATGTAACTTTTTTTTTTTTTTTAATAGCTTTTTTGTTTGTTTGTTTGCTTGCTTTTCCAAGTAAACAGTGTTGTGTAAATAGGCCATGGCAGTGTATTCTTCTCACTTCCTATCTCATTGGTCTGAATTGATTTAACCTTCCCCAGAGTCACTCAGCTGAAGCATTTCCATTTCACACAATATGCAATTACATTGTTGCCTCCATTTGTCAAGAACAGATGTACAGCCATGAGCAAAGATAAAAAACACTCCTGAAACTATTTTGTATCTTTAGTATTATCAAGGGTGTGCAGAGATAGAATTCTTTAAAGCTGTACTACGGATGGTGATGGATACATGGAAATTGGTACTGTATATAGACACAGTATACAATAAGTAATACAATAATTTTCTCATCACAAACATACATGGAGTTTTGTTTCATTTCACCTCTGGTTCAGTGTTCTGCGGCCGGGACTAAAACCACACTGCTCTTCCTGAATCCAAGGTTCGGATTCTCCTCTCCAGTACCAACCATAAAGCAGTTATTTAAAATTAAAAATATTCTAAAAAATATATAAGAATACAACATAGCTCAAATTCATATGCTCAAATCAGAAAAGTGATATAATGTATTTTAAATATGCAATTTCACATTCCTCTCTTTAAAGGTGGCATATTTGTTAAGACACCTGGTTCATAATGAGAAGGTATCTGATAAGTTTTTCTGCTACCACCTTTTCTGCTACCAACTGACACAAGCACACTCAAGTATACATAGGGTAACATATGTCATATATTGTTTAATTGTTTACAACACACATACAACATGCAAACAAGACTTTGTTTATTAGTTTACATTTTCAGTGCAATGAAGCCATAAAAATGAAGTAATCAAAATAAAACATTTTATGTTAAAATGCACAAATAAATATTGTTTTCCATAACAAGCAAAAAGGGTTACCATTTAGGTAAGTGCAGTGTCTACAAGTCTTTCTGTGTATACCCTGTCTGACTGAAATTAAACTTGGTAAGTCAGTGGTATGTGGGAATCCATTTAAAAGCATTTTCAAAATCTGTTAACTTAAGTTTGTAAAATGATGATATTTCTTAATATTAAAGACAAAGACATCGTTCAATACGCAGCAGAGGCACTCACATTTTTGCACTCTCTGTATGACCATAAATAAATAATTTCACATGCTATTTTTCATTCAGTACTTATAGTTTTGCACCTGGCTTTGAAAATGTGGCTCTTTTCACAGAACCAACCTTCAGCAAAAAGTTTTATACAGGGGTTTGTTACCTCAAGGACAGTTTGTTTTTCTACATCTCCACATAAAGTGGCACCTGAAGACAACACATGTTCATTACAGGAGGATTAGTTTGTATCTTGTTAGTATCCTGACTTATTCTTGTTTACCTATTAATCTACTGTGTTTCTCAATAACAGTGTAAACGTGTTTGTCACACATTTCCACACTGTGTTCACTCTTATCTTAATATCACTGTGTTTATTTTAAGGCGACTAACAGTGAATCATATTCTGATTGTGCTACACAGAGGAATGCAGCTGAGCAACACCTGAGCAAGTCGAACACCTTACTTTTACTATTGTTAGTATATCCTGCTGAGATGTTTTTGTTTGTATGTTCAGAAGAGTACGATTGAGGTGGGTAGGCCAGTCAGTCTATCCGTATCAAAACAATGCTAATGAGGAAATTAAGAAAGGAAAAACTATCACAAGGGACTGAAAACCATTGTATCATATGTAGCATATTTCTGCAGAATCACTGATTGTTAATCTGAAATTTGATTTAGTTTGTAAATGTTGGGTGAACAATGAGCTCCACCATTTCATATGTGTCACTGAAATAAATGAACCAGATTACACAAAGTGTTTGGTTCTGGCTTGAGACATGATGGAGACTGATATCCATCTGTATAAACAATACAGAAAGCTATACTTCTGGATTTGCCAGGCAAGAAGTGATGAGAGTGTCAACACAGCATCACTCTCGAAAGAGTCGGTGTAATCCCTCATTTGTCCAGGAGAGGTCCATGTTCTACACAGGAATAGCATAACTCGTTCTGTTCATTTGGCACCTATGTTTATACATTTGTGTTAAGCTTACATTATTTCTATGGTTACAGCAGAAAGAACTTTTTTTTTTAAAGTTGGTGCTATTTTTTGGACCCACAATATTGAAAAAAAAAGTATGGTGTAAATGTAAATTTGATTGAATGTTTTAATTCTGTTGTACCTAAACCGTAAACATTTTATATTTAATATAGTTTTTAAAATGTAATATAACATAGTTATGTAATACTATAATTTGTGTATTCTATGGCTTCTATGCAGAGAAGTTCCGGTAAGATCCAGTAAGACTGTATTAACAATCTTGGCTCTATTGTTGACATAGTAATGAGTAATGAAATGAACAGTCAGGATTACTTGACCATAAAATCTATAAATCTGGTGAAAAAGCACTGATGTAGTGTATATCTGAATATCTGATTACAGATGGTGCTTATATTCTCTTGGTGCAGTGTTTTGAGTGGCAGTCCTTCACAGGTCCCAGACACTTGACTCCCTCCAGCAGCATCGGCGTCCCGTGGTGAGGGTCTGAGAACACAGAACAGGAAAATTCACAGCTTTTACACTGTGGAAGGAAGCACTCTTCTGTTACCAACAGTGGCATAATTTACGCTATTTAGTAATGGGCATAATCAAACTGTGTCAGCCATAAAGACAAAGGTGTGGTATATACTAGATATAAAATAAGAAATGCAAATGCATGCATGTAACTTGGCCTGCCGACATCACCTGTTTGGCCTCACGGAGAATATGTTAGTGCCTCACTGTGGAACATGTTAGGTGCTGAAATAACAGTTCCATGCAGACGATCCTCCAACAGAAAATGTACATAGTGCACCTTTAAGAGGGAGGACTCTTTTGTAAATTCTCTGTAATTACATGGCCTGTACACCCGGTGACAAATTAAAATGGCTTGCGCTTCCTTTATGCATGGCCCTGTTTAGGACAGGTCCTATATTTGCCTAAAGGGGGCGTGGTGCACACAGTAGTGAATAAAGGCTGTATGGTTCAAGCCTGTGGAGTGCGCTGTGCAGTGCATCTCAAACATCTCACTGCCACCTCCTGCTGCTCACCCTACCCACCCTAAAAACACCACTTGAGACCAGTGTAAAGAAAATGTAATGTAATTTTTTTCACAACTATGGCAAAAGTGGTGTCAATAAACAGGTACACAGACTCACTGTGACCTATTGATGCAACATACCCCATACCGTTGTTGTTTTGTGTTTGTTCCTGTACTCACCTATGACCTTGGCCTGTAGTTTGACCTTTAGGGTGCTGTCCCTCTTCCCCTTGGTGAGTATTGCTAGCTCCTCGTGCAACACCCCCTCCTGGTGAGTCTTGTATTCACATGTCACTTTTACTCCACCTGCAGTGATAGACGTTTCCATTTTAATTTATCTTCAATAAAAATAAAATGAGGTTACACAGGTTCAGGTACGTTTATAGGGCAGTATTGGACAGTACAGATCAAAAATAAAGATGTGATTAGAAGGACAATAAATGGATAAATTAGAAATGTAATTCTGACTGACTCCAGTCTTATCTGAGGGCATCACAGCACTGTCTCCTGGAGTGGTTCTCAACATGTGGTCATAGTCCATTAGCTTCTTCCCTGTGGTACTGAAGAGACTAAAATTTAACTGTGTAGACCACCGCTTGGTCATTTTATATATTTGAAATTGCTTACATAAATACAATTGTCTTGGTCCCCATTTAGTCCTGGTATCAGCTCTGGTTTAGTGCCTTTAATAACAATTTAAGATGAATTTATCCCTGGTTTGTTTTAAATGTTGTCCATGTAAAAACCTAGAATTAACCTACCTATTTCTGGTACATTCAAACTATATTTTAGTGTCACTTAAATCTGGTTTCAACCTAGTGTAGTCCTGGTTGGTCCTGATCTAGTCCTGGTTTAGTCCTGGTGTAGATTCTGTCTATAGATCTGGTTTAGTCCCGGTAGAGTCCCTCTTTTTAGCTTATTTTCATCTGTTTTGTTTAGTTTTGTGATATGGACTCTTTTTATCTTAAAATATCCATTACTAAAGTTGAAAATGGCCAAAATAAGGTAAAAAGGTAAGACTTTCATCTAAATGTAATCAGATACTCCTGTCTACTGTCTGTCTGGTCCGTAGATCAATGTCTGTGTCTGTTTGAATAAGTAGAAACAACAAAATGGCCCCAGATATTGAAATATGTACTGTATGGTAGCATTTCACAATAGATGCATCAAGAATTTCAGACTTCCGGTCATTGCGCAATGTATACTGGGAAGGATTTTCCGAAAAAGTGAGCATCAAACCGCCATGTTTGTTTTCCCAGTGGGATGCGTCTATTGACAAAGCCAGTCTTTTCTAGTCTTTTGAACCATATCACTTTTGTTTCTGGTTCTGATATTGTCATATTTTAGTTTTGGGATTTGGACATTGTAATTGTGTGGTTGTTGGATGTCCTAACAGTGAAAAAAGGCTCAAGAAATTTGTTTGCGAGCTCCATAACTGCAAAAGAGAATCAGATCTGTGTGACTGCAAACCTCTGTTCAAACTGTTTCCCTTCCCAACGGAATTGAAAAATAGTGAAAGGCGATGGGCAGGATTGATCCACAGGAAGGACAAAAAAGGTAACCTTTGACATTGGGAAACTAATGCAAGAATCACATTTCAGAACATGCTTGTACAGATCTAAACAACCAGGTTTATATATAAAAAAAAACATCAAAAATGGGATTAAAATTTAAATGTGAATAAACCAGGCAAATCAGAATCAAACATGAATGATGCTGATGAATACACCTACTGTAATGTATATTACAAATCTGTTACTCTTTTCCAAACCAGGAATACACTGAACTGAATTGTAATTGATTTTCCATCCATACCTTCTAGTGTGGAGTTGACGCGATTGACCTTCAGGGAGGAGGCTCTTCTGGTAGGGGAGGAGGAGCTGGAGCAGGACAGGTCTTTGCCCAGAGTGGGGACATCCGGGATGGTGAAGACGAGCTCATACACGTGGTGACTCTTCAGGAAACCAGCCTGACAGAGAAAAAACAGAAAGATAAAGTTCCCATTTTTTATGTGCTATAGTCCTAAGAACTCCTTTTGTTTCTTGTTACAAAACATATGTTAAACTGAATATCTTTATTTTAGGGTTAACTCTGCGTAAAAGAACAGTACATAACCTTACTCTTACTGTGTTTTTGTGTGTGTGTGTGTATGTTTTTTTTTTTACCATCACAACTGAATGTGCTGGGGTTTAGGTAGTGACCATTTAGATCAGAGAGAGTCCATTTAGGTTTACCCCAAATGGATTTCAACATTAAAACTGGCAACCCAAATGAGAGAGGCACATTCTGCTTTCTGATTGGATAATTGTCTTGAGAGCCAAAACCAATGAATACACCAAATTATAGCAAATTGCCCATCATGTCCCTTGAGATATATTGGATTTGAACATGTTTATACCTTATATCGGGGGACACATTTATGGAAAGTCAAATCTTACAGTCATCTTACAATAATGGTAACGGTATTGGCAAATATTCATTATCATACAGGCTGAAAAAACATCATCATATTGGACCATCCCTAACTCATGAACTATTAACTATTATGACAGCATTTATAATTTAGTTTACCAGTTGCTAAAATGGCTACCTCTATTTTTGTCATGGCTGAATCCCACTGATACCAGCATTTAAAGTTTTGAAGTTTTCTCTCTTTTTTCATACATAGGTATTATTCTATGTTTAGGCCTAAAACGTGAAACCAATACATTTCCTGGACCTTGACTAAGTAGCTGCCATCCTTTTCTCTCGTGGCGATGAGGGAGCAGAGATTTGATTGGTCGTCACGTCTCGTTGGGGATCCGGGCGGGGCATCGTCGTCAGGGAAACGAACCGCGCCTTTAGACGTAGACCCTGCAGTAAATTTAGCAATAAAAATACAAAATGCAGATGAGTTGTACATGTTTCCTGTTTATGTGTTATTGCAGAAACTATTTATATAATGTATGGAAACATTTTTGTGATATTTTGTGATTTATCTGCCCACCTTTTTGTTCAGTTCAAGTAGATGAGGAGCATGAAAGATGATACCCAAGTAATTATTTTCTATAGAGGAGTTTTAAAGCAATTCACAAATCAAATAAAAAAAAGGTTTTGCTTTTCTGGTGGAGAGTCTGCCAGCTGTTTGTGTCCATGGAGATCTTATTAAGGTTTTGCATCTACATCACAAAACTACGTGACCTGGTGTTTATGCTGCCATATTGCAGATCAAATTATCCATGTGGACGAACGTGTATTATTTGTGTGCGATAAAATTTGAATTGAATAACAATGGTTTTGACCTGCATTGCTACTGGATGTTCTGTCATCCAGTCAATCTGCTAAAGAAGGAGGCCAAAGTATCTTTCTATCAGATCCCGGCTGAGAAAGATCACAGACAGAGGTGGATAGCAGACATAAAAACAGAGGGATGGGAGCCCACTGAGTACAGTCATCTGTGCAGTCAACATTTCATTTCTGGTAAGGGACCACTTCCACACAAACGAAGAAGGGATTTACAGTAAATGAAATTATATATGCCAAAAGTTTTTGTTTGTTTTTTTTCGTAGGTATTCAGAATAATAACTCACTTTCACCAGATTACATCCCATCATTATTCACGTACACCCCATCAGCAGTGAAAGGCAAAGCAAAACGTTTGCTTATTTCCAATGAAAGAAGATCTAACAACATGAAAAAACAGATACTGGAGGTTGGGCACAGAGCGAGAGTTGATTAAACTAACAAAGCGCTCCATCGGAATTAGATTGGGATCTATTCCAGAACCCAGGAGGATGACTTTAGCTTTATACCTTTCTAATGATGGCTGATCTAACAAGCTGGCGATTTCAGACAGTTTTAAGTTGTTTGCTCTGTTTAAAGTAGCCATGATTATATTGAAAACTGAATAACACCATCTGGATTAACCCCATCCCTGACCTCCAATATGGCTGCCAAAACATTAAATCACATGACACATCACACGCATGTCCTTAATTACTTTTTTTCTGGATTATACCACAGTATGGTAATAAACGTATAATATACAGTATGTAGCTTTTTAATTACTGCTGTTTTTTTTTGCTTAAAGGTTCTATATTACGCAAAATTGACTCTTTTATTATTAGTCTGTCTACATTTCCAAAGCTCAAAATGCTCTGTTGCCTCTCCACAGATCTGACCAACTTTGCCTAGTGTGACACCTTCTTGTCTTGATGGAGCTAAATACATCTGAAGCAAATATATTTCCGTGGAAACAGGAAATATATTTAGGTAATGGAGGTAAATAAGGTAATGGAGCTTCCATGAGAAAGGTTACACACTGCACCTTTAATGAAGCATTCTCAAGGGCTGTCTGCAGTCTGCTTCTCTTCCCGTAAGATTAATCACTGCTCCCGTGTGAATTAAGATAACTACTTACAGAAAAGTCATATAAAACGAACCCTATAGTGAAGTTGCACGACCTCACCTTTACGCCCGGTCGCCATGGTGATCAGGAGAGTATCAGCCAATCCCGGCACGACGTCATCACTGGCCCTCTGCAAACCAGGAAGTGAAAGAACAAGGGCAAAATCCGAGTTACATAATCAGACTCACTCAGATCTCAGATGCTGTTTAAGAAGATGAAACATTGTGTAACTACCAAATTAAGCAGTCCATTTAATGAAACTGCAAACTAAAAATATACCCAGCTGGACACTGATATAATGTTATCAGCCCCTATAATCCTGATTCATAATACTCACAATGTTTAGTATTCAACTAGTCTGAAATATATATCTTTTTCAATTAGACCAATATATGATTATCTCTACTGTGAAGAAAAATCCAACCAGTTTAAGCTGTGTGTCTTGTCCAACACAAGTTAACAGGGATGATAATATTGAACTGCAAAATACAATACATATACAATACAATACAACGTACAATTGTAAATGTTTTTTTTTTATTTTTTTTTTTATGACAATTCACATCTGGAGTAAACAGTCTTCTGTAATAAAAATCTGCTGTGGCCACAAAAGCACAAAATCTATGTCCTTTATCCATTATGTATGAGACCAATCACAGCTCAACTCAAACACATGATCTAGCACTTTCACCTCAGCAGAGAAAGAACAAGAAAGATGTGTTCACAGAGAGATACAAGGACTAAACCAGGACTAAAACAGAACAAAATCAGGACTGAACTAAACCAATACTAAATACACAGGTGTTATAGGGCTGAGTAATACTGGAAAAAACAACCTTCTTATATTATTACAATATCTTTATTTATTTTTATTTTTTTTAATGCAGGTTCTAAGTTAAATACATTTATCAATTATCTCTATTTACCAAACTCTGCTCCAAAACTCATGCTTTGACTAACAGGAACAGAGAGCTGTACAGTACACCCTCATCTGTGTTAATGAGCTTTGGGTAATGATCGAAAGGAAAAGGAAAGATGGCGCATACAGGCGGTCAAAATGAGTTTCCTCTGCAGAGTGGCTGTGCGCTCCCTCAGAGCTCAATCGCACGAGAGGAGTTTAGAGTAGAGCTGCTGCTCCTCTACGTCAAGAGGAGCAGCTGAGGAGGCTTTGGTGTCTGATGTCTCCTAGACTGAGTCCCTACTTAGATGACCTCGGAGAAGCACAAGAAAACTGATGGATGAATTTAATTGGAAGCAACTGTATATTGCAACAGTAACTGATTTACTGCCTTGAACTGTCAAACTAACACAAGAATCACATTTCTGACATGTTTGTACTGACATAAATGATAGGGTTAGCAGCTTTTATGCAGAATAAGACAGGTTGTTGTTTGTTTTGAAAAATATGGTACTTAAAAATTGCACCCTTTGTGATTTGCTTATTGTGTTCTGTCAAATACGCAATTTTGATTTGATTGCAATTAATCTTGTGGCGCTATAAATTTTGAAATCTGCCTGGTTCTCCATCTCAGTCCATCTCAACTAGACTGCTGAGATTGCTGTAACAACATCATGTGAACACAACCTATGCAGAGAAAGTGGTAAATATTTCAACACAACCTGCTGTAGCTTACAAGTACACAAAGAGGAAAGGGCCATAGGAAAAGCATTAGTCACCACCACACCTTTACTGTCCCGTGGATCTAGCATTGATTTTAACCAAGGACCGCTTGAACTCCTTTTATAAAATGTAAAGTGGGCAGTTATTTCTTGTCCTGGACCTGACTATTATATTCTACACTTAAGGTGAATTCATACATAGCTTGCAACATTAAACCTGGGACTAAAACTGGACTGGACTAGAACTAAATCAGGACTAACAGGACCAAACCAAGTCTACATCAGGAGATCTAAACCAGGGCTAAACCAGGACAAGAGGATGTAGCCTTAAACAGGGAAAGAATGTCAATTCACTTAGCAACCATTGCAATCTCCCTCTGTATATTTTATTTATTGTTGACCTGACAATAGCCTAGTTTTGTGGTCTTGACAATATAATAAAACATAAGCAGACAACAAAATTATTTAGGCAATATTACTGAATATATGATCAAAGCAGAAGTCAAAATAAAATATGCCCAATTCATATTTTTCTATTCCACCGTAAGTTCCCGTACAGATGGGACCACCCAGTCTAGACAATCAGACAGTAGTAGCCTATAAAAACACAAGACAACCTTTTTAGCTATATTTATCCACTCTCTCCACATTAGCAAGCACTTCTGAGCTAAAAATAGACAAATGTATCGGGGCTAACCCAATAAAACAGTTCTCCTGGGAGTATTACGCACGCCCATGTCATTAACCTAAACATCCGGAGACGAAATCTTGCAAACTACAGCGATTAAAATAGAACACGTACCTTTTAAATAAACATCAAAGCGGAGGACATGCTATTCAAGCACGTCGTTCCCGGAAGATGTGAAAATGACCGTAGATTTCGTCCTGGTGAAGCGATTCTGCTCTCTTTACGAAGGGTTGGTGAGCGGGGCGTCGGGAGCGCGCATGGATGGATGGATGGATGGATGTAGTGCACGCGTGGAGGAGAGAGAGGAGCAGAGCACGTGGACGGGACATCACCCAAACCAAGCCCTGCCCTGCGAGAGGCCGACCAATTACAGTTAGGCATGCGTCAGTAGCAGCAGTGACGATGACAGTGGTATAGTAGTAGGAAGGCGAATTTGTAAAGTAACATTACAGACGTTAATTATCTTGCTTTCAGATTTTGTAAGTTCTGTGTCATAACTGACTTCAAGAGTGTTCTGTTGTAAAAGGGTGCAGAGGAAAGAGTCAAGTCAGACAGAGGAAAAGACGAAGAATGGGATGGAGGATGGAGTAGAGGGTTCTTTTGACCTTTTTGACCTTGGGGCTCAACTTTTTCTGTAATATGTAATCTGGGGCTCAATCTCATATTCATTGTTTTATATTCTTTTATATTCTATTTTGCTGACCTTAGGTGGGATGCAGTTGAGAAGGTCAGATGGAGCAGAGGATGCAGAATAGAGGGTCAGATGAAGCAGAGGATGCAGCTGAGAGGGTTGGATGGAGTACAGTATGCAGAATAGAGGGTCAGAAAGAGAAGAGGATGCAGTTGAGAGCGTCAAATGGAGTAGAGGATGCAGAATAGAGGGTCAGATGGAGCAGAGGATCCAGTTGAGAGGGTCAGGTAGAGTAGAGGATGCAGAATACAGGGACAAAGATGGAGCAGAGGATGCAGAATAGAGGGTCAGATGGAGCAGAGGATGCAGGTAGCATCCCGAGTACAGCAACATAAAGACAAACAAACATGCCTGCAGCAAGTTCTCCTATGAATGTGAATTTGTTGCAAAATGGGAGAGCGTGTAAACTTGATTTGAGAACTTATAGAACTTGTAGAACTTTGAACTTGCAATTGCCCATTTTCATACACAAGTGTATTGAATTTGCAGTCACACTGAAAAAAAACACACGAGTGCTTGAAAAAAATGTGCGCACTTTCAGAATGAAATTTTCACTTGTGGAAAATATTTGCACACATGGGAGAAAAATATGAATGAATGTGTAGATTGATAATTGTATAAATAGAGTGACAGCCACATCTATAATGACAGATCCAACCACAACTCAGCAACTGCAACTTCTCAAATGTGTCCCAGCAGATTCAAATCTGCATGCCTTGACTTTTACAACACAACATTTAGTAAAACCAATTTGCACTTGTAGAGAGGGGGAGGAGAGGACTGTTTTGCCTACTTTCATATTTCAAAGGTTTAATGCATATACTAGCACCACATGCTTTAAATGGACTGAAGCTGTTACGTTCTGTTGCATTCATAGAAAAAAATGTAAGAAGTGAAAGAGGGTAAATATTTAAACCTAAACAAAATATTTTTTCCTTTGTGTGCAGGTATCTGAACAGAGTCCAGTGAGCTCTCCCAAAGACCATCTGCTCCTGCACTTTAAGGACCCTCTTTTTGTCCCCCAGCAGTGACGTCTCTGTTGGACTGGCAGCTGCTCCGTACGGCGCTCTCTCCCTGGGCAGAGCTGGAGTTTGAGAACATCATCCTGACTGTGTCCTCAGAGGTGGTGCGGAACTCTCTGGGACAGGATCATGAGGGGCATTGCAGACCTGGCTGCTATCCCACCCAAGTTTAAAAGGAAGGAACAGTCACAGATCACGTAGAGCAGATTAATACGAACAGTTTAAGACCAAAATGATGATTGGGGTGACCATTTTTTCAATTGGTCAATAGAAGCTGGAGTTGATGGAGGTATAAGTGCATTTTGAAAGGAATGAAAGGAATAACTAAATAGAAAACCTTGATTTTTTGTTTTTTTTTTTGTCAGAAATTATTAATAAACATATTTATTTTATTAATCATAACAATAATTAGTGTTATTATTAATATAATATAATATGTATATTATAATAATTATTATTAATTAATTATTATAATTATTATTATTATCTTTTGTGTAAAAGACTGACACAGATCAGGATCAATGTGTTTGACCATCCCTTTTTGCCTCAAAAGATTGTTTAAAGGTTTTATAGTTATTAGTGTGGCAATGTTTAGAGAAATGCTAATCTTAAATGGGAGACAGCCATCACCCTTCCTTCTGTTAACAAATGAGTCACTCTACCACCAAGATGCCTCATCCTACCGACTTGCTTCCTTCCAAAAATATTCAAATTTTTTATAAAAATCTTTTAAAATTTTTACTGAATTTGAATATCTATGACGTACTATAACAAACTGGAAAACCTTCTGTAACTAAAGCCTTAAAGGTTCATTGTGTAACTTTTTCTGGTGGAGGGTCCGTCAAATGCTTTTCTTCATCGAGATATTATTGCTTTGTCTGTGTAGTGTGACTACATCTGGCCCCACGCTGGCACCAAAATATGTAGGAGAAATCTACATGGGCTCACAGCGTGATACCATGATGTAGGGGGGTAATTGATGTTACAGATTAGAATTTAGGGGTTCTAAGTTAAAGCAGCACTCACGTGGCCTTTGTGAGTGTTCGGCTAGAAGTAAATTTAGGGGCACCACTCAACAAATGTTGAGAAATATTACCAATCCAATTTAATCAATTACCTATGTTAATTAATTAATTAATAATTAATTACACAATTGATCTGAAGGTTCGTAAATTCTTGACCATATCAGTGACCTGCATATTTTGAAATGACATCACTGGAAATAACATCACTATTCACCAAAGCAAACTGTGGTTTATGGATATTTATTGACCAAGTTAAACAGAAGCATTTAAATATCAAATATGCAAATGAGTGTAGGTCGCTCTAAACTGGTGTCTAGAGATCTGAGATTAGGCATAAGAGTTATCTAAAGTTCTGTGCTGAGTCTAGATATACATTTGAATAGATATTTGAACATATGTATTCCTCTGATCTCTGACAGTGTGAGCCAATCATGTTATGAGAAGCGTCACAATGGGACAAAGGAGTATATGAAAAGTGGGCGCCCTCTTGTAGCCAACATACGATGTAGCTATGGCTGTTCTTGTAATTGTTTTGTCAGCACTTCAGAGATGTGTTTTTCAATACTGGAGTGCTATAAAGAAGGACAGCTTTGAATTAGAATGAACTCTAGCAGGTCTAAAGTCACTAGTCGAATATGCCAGGACAAAAGCAGGACTTAGCCTGTATGATTCTTTTTTTCAGTTGCTGGGGTTTAGCTAGTGACGACTGAGATGAGAAGCTCCTTTTTTGGTTTAGTGAAGCAAAAGATGAAATGATAACAAACAAGATGAGCAAACATATATATTAATAACTTAGAAGAACGAACACACCGCATTTCAGTCATAATCGGTTTATTGCACGCAGATTTCTAGTTTCACAAACAAACAGTGAAATGAACATGGTCCAACTTCAACATCACAAGAGCTTTCCAGTCTCAGTTTACTGCATAAACATTGCTAAATGAATGTTTAAAATGATTTGAATTAGTGCGACATCTTATTTTAAAAGTTGTATTAGTCTAGTCCATTTTTTATTTCTTTTTGCAAGTGTATGTCTGCATGATTTACATTGCAAATATTCCTGTTATGCAATGTTTTAGGGCTGTTCAATTGTAGAAAAAACATAACATCACAATTACTTGGTTCATTTTTGAAATTACACTTTTTTTTTTAAAAACATTCACTTACCACTTGAACCTGTAGAATATTATCATTTAGTGGTAAAGTTTTGGGCTTAGAGAAGACTTTGTTTTGAGATTGGTCGGATAATTATTTTTAATCATGATTCAGATTTGACTAATTGCAGCCTTACAGTGAACAGACAGACATTTAGCTAACTACCATCAATAGCACTGATCTGAATGAAGCACCATTTAGTGAAAGCTTTAAGTGTCCTGAACACAAGTGCAAAAATAAAGAATTTACATGAAAAATCAACCAAATAACACACAAACGATGCATTCCCATTCATTCTACTACAGTAAAAATGTACAAAGTCAGTCATTATTATTAAATGTATAAACAGTTCTCTCCGTGCTATACTGCTTATCAGTTAAAAAGTGCACTATGGAACTTTTCTGGTGGAGTGTCACCTGCTTGTTTCCATGGATATGTTCTATCAATCTCCAAAAGGTAACACCACCGGCACAGGTACAGGTAGATCTTTGCATTGCTTTTTATTTTTGTTGTTTTTATTTTGTTTTTTGCAATGAAACCATTTGTGATTAAATAAATGCAAGATAGAGGAGTTCAATGCCATACTGTGGAACATTAAAGGCAAGGCAATAACATCTCCATGGGGACAGGCAAACAGGTGGCGGAAAGTTACATAGTGCACCTTTAAACAAGATTAAAAAACTGCTTCACAAATTATTATTTACATAGCAAGGAAAAGGTCCATGAGTTTTAACCCATGCAATAGCAAAACACTGTTCAATTTCTTCTTTACAAACGGCAATCTGACACTAGCTTATCAGGGCGGAAGCTATATTACGATAACTTCTCGAAATTATTACAAGTATTGTTTAAAAAAATTACCAAAAATGTACAAATTGCAAAAAAGCAAACTTAGAATATTACCAGTGTGTAATTTCAGTGCGTAAATAAATAATAAATACATTTGCAAAAATATATTCAGGAGTATACAGTAGCAGTGCATGGCATGTTACAATCATCATCAGTATTATTTGCACAGGTCGTTTCTAGGAGAATTTTCAGTGCATTTTGTTTTTTGTTTTTTTACCCAATATCCTCATCAGATTATGGAGCTCAATCAAACCTTGGTTTAGAAAGTAACATTATTTTCCATATTTTCCATAGACAGATGGGAAAATGTCATATTAAGGGTTAAACATAAGTTTAAAAAAATCAGCTCTGGTGTAATTATAATGAAATACAATAATTTTAAAAAACATTTAGGCTGGCTCAGTATATTGCAATCAAATAGAAATCACAACTTGATCTGGTGTAATTGTATACTGCAAAGCTACAATTATTTAGCCTGATTCATCAGCTGGTTTCACTTTGTGGAAACCATCTAACCTCACAGCATTAGGATTTGTTTGCTTGACGATAGGCGGGTACTTTTTTTTTTATTTAACAAATTGCTGCTATATGGTCGTGACATATGTAATGCGCCAAATTCCATAGGAAGAAGGGTAATAACATCTTTCCTTGATTCTTGATAAAATTCAAGCATACATGCTCTTTGTTCCAGCTTTAAAACTTCGATCTCGGGACACCAACACAGAATGTCTGTCATCCATCTCACCCACTTTGTTTACTGTGGTGTTATACCACAAAAGGGACCCAGACAGGGGCTTGAGTTTGACGTCATGGCTTCACAGCTCTTTGTTGATTGGCCGGTGCACGATCTACAACTTCTGGAGTTTTTGCAAACCGTCTAGTGTATTTTGATTCCTGACCTAGTCACTGGAGAGAAATGAAATTGACCGGAGGCACTAGGTGGCACCAGCCTGGCTAACAATTATTTGCAAATCTTTCTTTTTAAGAAGAAAACTCTCTAACTTAGATATTTACTTTTTAGTCTTTTTCACTTTCAGATATGCACTGTGAACTGAATCCTAAACTGAAAACAAATTCTCAATGCAATCATACTTTATTCCCAAAACCATGTAGCCCTGATAACTTTGTAATCAACATTAGTGTTTTTATGTATTGATAAAAACATTTAAACAATTAAACCCTTAATAACAATTAAAAGTCTATGGAAAAAATGTAATTACAAATGTACTTTCAGAGCCACTTCTCCTTCCACCTTTGAGCTACATTTAACACATTAGTCCTGACCATATACAATAGTTGTTCGCTTTCTATTCTCTTTCAGACCAGCAGGTAGTGCCGTCGTAATCACCTCTGTCTCTACACAGTCTGAACACAGGTATGGATAAAGGTACAATTTATTTTCCGCATGAGAAACTTTGAATACCTAGCTGGATGATTAGACTGCTCTACTTGATTCTATCCATGGGTTTTAGAATGATGAAAAGTTAGGACTGTTGCCATAACAATTAACAATTCAAATCAAAATATTATTATCTTTTTAACGGTCAACCGTCCTCAACATGGCACCATAAACAGGAACGAGACGGTAATCCCTCATTCAAGCATGATTCAGTGTGGAGAAGGTTTTAGTGGTGGTCATCTAGGCCCGTTTTCAATTTGGTGGCACTGTCTTGAGGCACTAGGCTTCATCTTAGTCCGAGTTAACTAAATCCACTCCACAAAGGGAAGAGTCTTAGAGTTAAACTGCACTGCCCTTGTTTACTAGCTGACATCATTATGGGTCATTATGCCCGATATGTATTGGATGTCTCACCTATAGCATTGTTAGCATTTGATTTGCTTGCTGTCTCCTTATTCCAAGTGTTCAGGACACTTATGTAAACACCTGGTAGATTTAATCTGTTCTAAGAGCTTTCTTCACTTCTCAGAAAGAATCCCTCTGAACAGAAATGGTGGAGTATAGTATAAATCCTAGTGCCTCAAGCCAGTAACACGAAATGGAAAATGGCTTCTGCATGAAAGCCAAAATGTCTCGATTACAAAAGCAGTGTCCAGATGACAACAGTTGAAACCCTCTCTAAACAAAACGAAAAGCTGAAACCCATGAATAGAATAGTTTTTTGCATTTGAGTGTATTAAACATAATTGACAATACCCAGTCAAAAACAATATTTGTACTTTGCAAACAGTGAAGGATTGACAATTGCCTCTGCAGCGTCAGATGGGAATGTGTTGGAAGTGTAATGAGCAGTGTTGATTGTCTGAGGGAGAAGTCTGTGCTAACAAGATGCTCGTGAGCTCTGGTATTGAGAATTAGTTAGAAAATGCTCTTTGTAAACTCCTGTAAAATGTACTGTATGTAAAATATTTTGTATGTAATAAGTTAAGATCTGTGCTGTAGATGGTTGAATAAGTAACTTATTTCGTTCTACTGTTTATTTATTACAGCTTTTTATTGATACTGTAGATCAAAAATTTTGGTTTAAAATAAAAATGTTGGTAGGGAATTATCCCGCTTCAGGGTTAGTGTGTCAGTGGCATAAAATATTTCAATATTATAACTGGTTGCGATATCTCACTAGCACAAATTTTGGTACCGTGACATCGGGTGACATTGGACATCTGGTTTAAAATAGACAACAAATCAAGGTACAAATCAGCCAGATCTGCCAGTTATTTAATGCAGTATATATCTATCTAAAAATCATTCTAATCATGTAAACCCAACCATTTGATTCAGACTGTGTAGTAACACTTATAGAGGCTTTCCACTGCTGTCCTGTCTGCTTACATTCTATGCTTGTTTAAACTGTGCTTGTTTAAACACTATGTCTGAGCCTCTGGTAGCGGCAGCCCTGGTTCCCGCGGTACACAGGTTACTGCAGTTACCCCATTCGTACCCCTACACAGTAAAGCTTTGGCCGCGCTGTTCGTTGTAGATTCAGACCCGCTCCCTCCCGATATCGTCCCATTTAAATTCCAATTCCCTCTTTGCTTCGGTATGGACACTCTTCTCCTCTCCACAGCTGCAGTCGTCATTCCGGTCGAACCACGCAGGCAAATCGATGGTAAACTCAGTCCAACCAGGCAGCAACCTGGACAGGAAATGACATCATCACTCTGCTCCGTGCGAGTCCGGATTGTACAGGGGTGCAGCTGGAGCGTAGCCTTTTGACTGCGTTCCTACTCCGACCCACTGCGCGAAAGTTTGGTTATTGTTGTCCATTCGCGGCAAAGGAGGCAAAGTCGGAGGTCCATTTGAAATAGGGATGCGCCAGCAGTTAGTTCGTAGGCAAGAAGAGGCAGAGGTAAGGAGGGGTATGGCGGTTGAATTTGATTCTGCGCATTCTGGAGATTTTGTACAGTCCATAGGCTCGATTTGAATGCTATTCTCTTCCTCTCCCTCGTCTTCCTCGTCCAATCGCTCTAACGAAACCATGTCCAATTCAACAGGTAAACTTGTATCCTCTCTCCTCACCTCTTCACTCACTGCATTGCTATCAGCTGCTTCGAAATTCAAATCATTTTCTTCGATTTCTACTTTAGTTTGTTCGTCATTTCGTTTCTTATCTTTCTCGCTTTGCAAAACGACTGTCCGGCTCAGCTCTGGCGTACATGGCAGCGACTGACACCTCCTAGGGGGCGCTCTAACACCAGGAGATGATCTGAATAGATGCGGAGACATGCACGGATCCCTCAGAGCAGGCAAAGTAAATGTTAAACTTATCACAGATTTGCTTGGCGTGTCTAAGAGTTTGCATTTGCCCCCGTTTAAGTCCTGTCTCAGGGAGAATGGGTTGACTCGAGCCGGAGTTCCGACCAGAGGAGGGGTGAGGAGAGAGGGCGGCAGCATGTCCGACTGACTTCGGGCTAGACCCTTTTGTTGTTGTTGGACACAGTTGCCATGGTGACAGGGTGAGCTGCGGTGGCGGTACGGGCTCATGTCGGTGACCCCTGGCTCTGTGGAGAAGAAAAGAAGGATTTTAGTCCAGATATTGGTTTTGATTTATATTTTAATCTGCAGATAAATGTGATGGATTAAGGATAGAAAATTCATATAAATGTGTAAGGTTTACGGTCTGTAATAGTGTACTACAATAATGATGGCACTCCAGGTAAAAGATGTCTGTGTAATCTCTTGCAAAATAATATGTAATTCTGTCAACTAGACATAAGTCTTTTTTTTCTGTTTTCTGTTCTGTTTCAGTTTTTTTTCTGTTAGAGTGAATATGTTTTATCACTCATCAAAGTGTCTTTGTCTGTTGTGATGAAGCTCTGGTAAGGGACTGGCTTAAAGGGCCCATCTCATGCAAAATCAACTTTTCAGAGCTTTCTACCTTCTCAGGGTGACGTGTGGGCCTTGTATATGTCACCGAAGTGTTTTTTAGATTGATTCTGCCTTTTTTTAACAAATTGCAGCGTATTTTTACCACCCTCCCATATGACAACGAACTAAAGCTGCTACAACGATGACGCGGCCAGCTACACCTATGACGCGTTTGACGTAGCAGAAGGTGCTTTGCACCCTCCCCCGCTCCACCACCTCCGCCCCGCCTCCACCGCGCATCAGCTGACAATTCCCACATGAACACCTAAACAAAAGTGACAGCATAAACTAATTGTTCTACACTGCAGTAAACACGATATAATAAGTTTATCTACTAGTGTTTATTAATACTTTACCAATCAGTAATGTTCAGCTGATGTTGACGCGGTGCTTGAGCTTCCTGCACCTCCAAGTCCTCATCTGATTCTGGGTCCAACACATAAGGCTGAACCATGATGAATAAAAGTTTATTCCTACCACTATCAGGGCACACGCCTGTCTCCCCCTCCCTCCCTGAGATGGGCGGAGGAAGGGTGGCTCACTCAGAGCCTACGTCAAGTTTGGAGGGCGAAGCCTGTGCTTTCTCAGGACGGGGGGAGGGATGAGCAATATTCGGCATTTCATAGTTCCTGGTCTGTGACTGTCTCCAAGAAATCAGTAAGATTTCAGAACTATTGTGTAATGGATGTTCCAAAACCCAAATTGTGCTTGTATATGTGCAGAAGATACAATGTGAAAAGAGTTATTTTGCATGAGATGGGCCCTTTAAATATTTGGAAGGATCAAATTACACTGAAACTAACACACCCTAGTTGTTTACAGTAAGGAATATTTGTATTAGTTCACTCCATTTAAGGTGTTAACTGTCACAAGTCATATTTTGAATAATCGTCCATGCCCCTGTAGTCTTCTAGCACCTATTAGCTTACTCTGACTATCTCATGGTAAACAGATTGACAAATTTTGACAAAAATAAAACATAATAAAAATGTACATATTCACAAACCTCAGCAAAGCAATTTTAAAATAAGGAAATCTGAAATGAAACCACTAATCATAGTCAAAGCGACTTAGCCTCCATAATGCCTTTGAACTCTCAATATTTGAAAAGTATATGGAAAAAACAAATGGAAAATGTACTTCCAGAATCAAAGCATGGGGTCACTGGTCAACCTTACACAAGTTACTAATCCAGGACCTATGGCATTTTGTGTATTTGTCATTATGAAATGCAAACAAAAACATACAATTTGTTATTAGTTTCACATTCTGAAAACCTTACAGTCTAATTTTATCATGATTTACCAAGTGCAATGGTTTTGTCCTTCTCTTCCTCAAGATTCATTCCCTCCAAAGAAAAGACGATGTCGCAGAAAGTGGGTCGCCTCTCCGCACACATCTGAAGAACAGAGCATAAACAAAACAGACAGGACTCTGGAGTTAGATCATTTTACTTTAACATTCAGAGACAAGAGTATTATTTTTGTATAATGATTTTGTATATTTATGAAGAATTGTTGTGTGGGAGGATGGGATACATAGGCTTGTGGACCGAGTCCTATATAGGATTGTACTGTTAACCATAAGCAGGGTTCAAGAGAGATCGAGAGAGACATCGCTGATTACTCAAACATGCCTGGATGACATCTAAAATCTCTCCAGGCACATTTTTGATGAGGAAACATTAGATCATGGTAGAAAGCTCTAAAAAGTCAATTTTGAGATCTTTTCTCACACATGTACTCACATTACAGCAGGTCACAGCAAGGCTGAAGAACGCAGAGGGACAATCTCCAACCATGTTTTCAAACGCCACCACATCAAGTCCAAAGTCCTACATACACAGAGATACAAAATAAAGTGGACAGAACCCAGCATAAATCTAAATGTATAAAACTCAACTGGTCCAATAGGTCACATTCCCGTGACATCCCAACTGTAGAATTCCTATAGTTTTGAGCTGGAGGATAGATTAAAATTTTATGATAAAAATTGCTGTGAAAATGCAGATTTGTTGACCTGGTTTATGGTTAATGTTTCTGTAATTACTTGTGCTAGCCACATGAAACAAAAATTGGCACAATGTTTAAGCTCTCTTCTATAAGTATATATTTTTTTCATAATAACTTCAGAAAGGTATGGCATTATTCATCGCCAAACATGATCCTTGTGAGATTAATGTGGCAGGTTTGTGGAGCCATTTCCTATCATCGGTTTCAAAAACAATACATCTCCTCCTAAGCCCCTGTGCTTCATCTCTTCTAGCACATGAACACAACACAACAAATGTGAGCGATTATGACAAAAATTAATTTGTCAATATTCTCTAAGAATCTCCCAAAAACAATTCTGATACTTGATCTGTCTGTTCTTGTTGAAAAGTACTAATTTATAGAGGGATTATCAGACTACATATCTTTGCGCTCTACTGCGCATGTCTCTTGCAGATTTCAGCAGATTTCAGGTTCCCCTGTTGGGCAGGGCTAGTTGTGTCGATCAGGTATGAGTGGATGTCCAGCTACTGAAGTTTGAGACACTTCTTCTCTTCATTTACACACTGACCTACATTTAATGCATACCAGTCAATAAGATGTATCCCACTCACTAATGTCCATTTAGCATCATAACTTATTTTATCACACTGTTCGATAAACTGTTTTATTGTGCTGACAACATAGCTGCACTCAGGCTGTGCATGCATCCACTGTATTGGTAAACAAATAATCGGTCTATACTGTGATATCTATATCTGAATGTGTCATACCTCTGTCCTTGGTAAGAAGTCAGGATCTGCTTCAATTCTGGCAATAATCTCACACAAAATGATGCCATAAGCAAACACGTCCACCTGAACAGAACAGGTTAAATATAATTTCATACATCAGCCTTCATACATTGCAGGCTGTAATTATTTTTGTATTTACCTTCTCGTCGTAAAGCTCTCCTCTCAGAACTTCTGGGGCCATCCAGTAGGGGGAGCCAACAATGGCCAGAGGTTGCTTATTCACACCACCACTAGAAAACCACAATCAAAAATAGTATCAGTATTCAGTTATTCAGTAATCACTAGTCATTTTGAGTACACACAATTATAAACCAGAGATTGAATAAATACATTTTATTCTTTGGCATGGCGTGAGCTGAGAAGTCGTTATTTTATTCTCTCGTATTACTCTCTCTCGTAGTATTTATTTCATTGTATTGCCTTGTTTTATTCTGTTAGTCTATGCCATTTTTGCAGTTCTTATTTGGTTTTTAGAAGTTTTTATTCTTTTTTCTAGTCATCACTTAATAATCAGGATGCATATGGAAGTAATGACCACTGCAAACTGTTTAAAATGAACTATGTTTTTTCATGTTTTTAAGATGTTAATAATCAGATACAGCACCTTCAAGGATCGGATGGGGTCTTCTATATTTTATATAAAAGCTGTTAAGCCCGTAGTTTAGACCTCTACAAATATGTTCTGAAATGCATGGGATTGTGTAGCTTAGTTCATATTTTTGAATAAACCAAACAGATTTTCTTAATAACGACCGGTGGAGCTGACAAAGAATCTTTAATTTCATGTGAGCTACTGTGCAGCACTGTTATAAAATACAACACATACATGGATTTGCTTTAGATTTGCTTTAGATAAGTGAATGTATTGCACTAACATAACTAAAACTAATTAGAATCTTTCTCATTCTCTCTGTGTCACTGACCTGTAGTCTGGGATCTTCTCTGCCAGTCCAAAGTCTCCGACCACAGCAGTGAACATCCCACTGTCACAGCGCACCAGGCAGTTCTACAGGGACAAGGATGTGTATGAATACACTGCAAACTCTAGTGTGCCAGCGTCTTTTAAAGGGCCCATATTACGCTATCTTCTGATCTGTGTTATAATGTTATTTCCTCATCACAAACATGACTTTTGTCTTGTTTCATTCATACATGTTTAACACACAAGGCTGAGTTCTTCTCTCAAACAGAAAACACTCAGTTCCACCTTGTGGTGTCATGAGGTAATAAAAGAAGTGCTCCACTGTGTTTTTAAACTCCATACAGCTTCACTAGAATCATTTGGATGATTTCAGCCCTGGAATTGCCAGTTTCCACTGAACTAAAGCTTAAGCTTTGGAGATGTAGACAGACTAATAACAAAACACAACTCCAGGTACGTTTTTGAAGAGATAACAATATTATAATGTGGCTTAAAGCTCAACAGTCAGTTTTGCATAATATAGGACTTATTGAATATTTTAGACAGCAGTTAAATTCTGCAAAAGACACCTTATAGCACTGGTGGAACTATTATCAACCCTTCTTTTGTCTTATTAATGTTTTCTGTAGTTATAGGTTGTCCTGTTTTCTATTGCACAAATTTGTGAAAATAAAGTTCATCTTGAAACATTGATCAACCAAAGTGAAAAGTCTCAGACAGCCTGTTTCATTATGCTTAAACATTATAAGCAGCTGTTACCGATGCAACCGATGGGTTTGCAAAGGTTTAACAGGAGGAATAAATAGAATAGAGACATTCAATGTTTCATTTCATCATCGTTAATGAGGAAACAAGCTACACATCACTCCCCATATGAAGCCCACTCCCCACTATCCTTGTGTCTTTCTCTACCTCTCCCCCTCTTTTCCCTCCTTGGAACCTCCAAGGTGAGGTCACTGTTGAAGTCAGCATTATTCCTTTGCTGTGAAAATACTGTATATACCCTCCTCCATTTCTCTGTCCCCTTCTTTCTCTTTCTCTTTCTCGCTCTCTCTCTGTTCTTTCCTTGGAGGTCACGTCTCTATGGAATATCCCTTTACTGTGAAGATGCTGCAGTCCTCCTCCTCCCCCCTCATCTCTTCCTCCCTCTTCCCCTCCCTCCCTCTTACCTTAGAGGTGAGATCTCTGTGAAATATCCCTTTGCTGTGTAGATACTTGAGTCCTTGTGCGATGTCCAGAGACAGGCCGATCCTCACACTCCATGACAGGTACAGGTCACTGTCCAACAACTGCTCCAGGTTCCCACCATTTATGTACTGCAAGACAGGCAAATACAGAGCTAATTAAAGGATCTCTATTTTTCCACACATATTTTGTCCCAGTACAAATATTTTGTATAAGCAGCTCTTAGGGTAAAAATGTGAATGAAGAAGTAACACTGGTGCACTGTTGATGTTGATGTGATTGCAAAACTCCACCTTGGCATCTGAGAAAAACTCTGATAAACTCATCACTGTGAATAATTAGGATGTTCAGAATGCATGACATAATCCTGTGCTATTAACCCTGTAGTTTAGACCTCCACAAACATGTTCTGAAATGTATGGGATTCTTGCTTTAGTTTAACAATAAACCAAACTCTGACTATAACAAGGTATTTTACCAAAATTGTTCAGATACAAAATTTTTCCCTATATTTCGCAAAGTACTCACACATAGTAAATCTTGAACAAAAGCTTACACTAAACATATGGGAGACACATCTTCATAAAATATTAACCATAGATGCAGTGATATTGGGACATGTGGAGAGATAGCAGCGTCATGAATCATTTATGTTTTCAGACTCCAAAACGCAGCTGTCCAGGTCTGACTCTGTCTCCAGACGTTACCATGGAAACCACCCCTCTGCAGAGAGCACGTCGATGGACTGATAATAAAAATAAAAGATTTAAAATGAGAAAGATACATACCTCTGTGAGAGCATGGAGCTGGCCTTCGTGAACGCAGACGCCCAGAAACCTGAAGATACAATGATTATTGTTATTAAATAAGAAATAGGTCAAACAAACCCATGTAACAGCAAAATGATAATCCCTATTCCATATATTTTCTATAATTTAATATAGTATGGACAACAGCATGGTCTTCCAGGCATTGCTATAAATATTATACTGTACTTAAATTGCCCAAATTCTATCCCATATGATTTAATCTAATATGTTTTATTGTCTGAGAATCAGGAAGTAACACTGATGTAGCTGGCCAGTTGCTATAGTTACATGATGGCAAAACTCCACCCTGAATTCTAAAAGTTATGAAAAGCTCTTAGAAACTCATCATTGTGTATAATTAGGCAGTTCAGAATGCATAAGGTAAGTGAGGAATACCTTTGGACCACTGCAAACTGTTTAAAATGAACTAGTTCTGTGTTTCATGTTTTTAAGATGTTAAAAATCAGGTACGTCAAGGACGTAGTCAACTAGAAATCAACAAGAAAATCGACTAAAGTTGACTAAACACATGCTCTGTGCAGCAAACAATGAAAATGGAAATGGAAAATGCCCTGACAAAAGCTCGCAAGTATTTACCCAACAGCGAAGGAATAATTTCATGACATACTGTAAATGAGTGAGCTGTATATAATTAATATACATAAATGGTTCATATATTTACCCACTTGAGTATTAAGGAAATACAATGGCATAAATGGTTTACCTGAGTATGTTTGGGTGGCAGAGTCTGTTCATGAGCTGCACCTCTCTCAGCATATTGGCTTTATTAGAGGCCAAAGTGTTCATCTTCAGAGCCATGACTTGGCCTGTGATCCTGTGCTGCACCTGCAAGACACAAATAAGCAAATGGTTAGTAAAAAATAAACCTGCTTTCAGTAAAATTATTAGTTTGCAATGATGAGATAATACATGTTTCTATGTACTTGTCTGAATATTTGACCATTAAATAACATGATGCTTAATCATTGTCTTTTTGCCACATCAAGTAGACCCCATTCAGGGTGCTTTTGTCACATAAAAGAGAGGCAGTATATACCAGTGTAATTTATCATTTGTTGAAATTACCTTAATTTGATTGATGGATATTTTAGTAAGCTTGCCTATTCAGCCTCATTACATGTAGGACTCTGCTGGTTTTTTGTGTGCAAGGAAAATAGCTGAATTACATAAACAGAGGATATGTAGCCTATGATCTTAATTTTTTAACAAATTAACTACAAATACAACTGACAGAAGGTGCCTTAACCTCCATATAGAGGACATAAACAATATTTCCTAATTGTGAGTATCTGCTCAGGTCATGCCTCAGAACCTCCATTCACTCCCTGAACTGCAGAGGCTACACTAGCACTGATTCATGATTGGCTGCAGATATTGGGGTTTAGGGTTTTAGTCGTATAGGACCAGGCAGACCAAAATGAGAGACTATGTGGGGCTTATTCTGTTTTCTAATTGGATCAGATAATGCTTATGAAATAGTAAATAAAAAAACATACCCTCCTTAAACAAGATTTACATACATATGCTTGTTGACATGAAATGTTTAAACAGATCTACATCATTTATGAGAAATACTGCAATTAGGAGGACCTTATCCCTGTTACAGTAGCACCAGTCTATTGCCTGTCTGTGACCCTGTAGCCTCGTCTCCAGCCCTGATCCATGCAGTGTGGAATAGACAGGTCACTGACAGAGCTTCAGAGTTTAGCTGTCTGGACCTGCCCGAGTCCAGATATAGTCCTGCTATAGTCCTGCTGAAGTCCTCCTGTGGTCCTGCTGTAGTCCCTCAGTTCGGTGGAGAGTGCAGGGGTATTAATAGAGCTCTAATAGGATTTCTGGATTTCCCATCACCGCTACTGATCTGCTCAAATCCAGCACCGTGACACATACACTGTCAAGAAATACAAACTAGACCACACTCTAGACCTGGTTTTAACTTGGTTAGACTTTTCAAAAATGCACAAATCCACCTGTCTACTTGCTAGCACTCATACTTCACCGCAAGAAAGTTCTGGGTTCAGTTTCTTTCTGCGCAGAGTTTGCATATGTCTCCTTGTATCTGGGTGGGTTTCCTCCGGGCACTCCGGTTTTCCCGATAAGCCAAAAACATGCACCATAGGTATCCACTGCTCCTGACATCTTGTCCCAGTGGGATTGAAAGATGGGTCAAATGCAGAGAGCAAATTTCCCTAAGGTGGACAATAAAGTGTACCTTAACCTTAAACTTCGATTCAGTGCTACTACAAGGAATGCAAGACTTATTGCAGTCATATCAGGATTCTATTGACCAATTGCTCAGACTGGAATTTCCTCTCTAAACAAGAAAATATTCAGTCTTATTCTGTCATTAATACACCTCTACAAACATCTGAACATCTAATTCTTGTATTAGCTTAGCAGTTCAGATTTCATTCTTTCTCTCAAATGTTACTGCTCCTTTGGTGTTTTAAAAAATATTATATTAAAAGATTATATTTTGTCCAAAATTGTTCAGTCTTAACTAGTACATTGGGTTTGGTCCTCTTGGTTTAGTTTAGTTCCTGAAAACAATATGCAATATGTTCAAAATGTAATAGGAGTCCTGAAAAATGTTGAGCGTCTAATCAACTTATGCATGTTTAGAAGGATTTGTCAACATGCCAAAGAATTTAAGTCAGTGAGTTTTGATGCTCAAGATCTTTTTTGCATTAAATAGTTGCTGTATTATTAGCTACAAAATAATGTGCTGAGCATTATCTACTAACCAGCCAACCCCACCAAAGCATCTCAAATATGTCCCTTTAAAACAGTGGCCCATCCCTGTAACTGCTTTGTTAGTGTGTGCATTTGGGGAGGGAAACTTTGATAAGAGCTTCAGGAATGTGCTACACTGACTGAGTTCAAAGGGAATTCAATCATTCAACAAGAGCAGTGGCATTTATGTATAACTCCAACTTTGAGCCACAATTCCCCAATTCAATGAAGAAAATACGATTATAATGTGAAATACTGTTAAAAAAAACCACACACACATATAATGAAAATTTTAGCTATAGTAATATCAATTTTTTCAGTTAAATGTTTCTCCAGGTTGTACTCTGTGTACTTTGAATTACTTTGCATACGAATTGTGCTCTACAAATAAACTTGCCTTGCCTTGCCTAGCCATAGCTGCCCTCCCCTCCTCTGAACTAAAGGGCCCCATGTTCATGTGTGTAACAGTAATCTGCTTATTCCGCACAGGTTCTGACCCCACTCTCACAACACCCTGACCCACTCACAAAACACACACAAGCAACAATGCATGACAATACATACTTTCTAAAGATATAGTTCTTATGTATGTAACGTTTCTGGGTATACTCCTGCTTGTCTCCATGGAGATGTCATGTTCCACATTATGGCAAACAAACAGCACATCTATCTCCATAGAGACAAGCAGGTGATGCAGGCAGACCAGTTACAGGTATGATCTGTGGAAAGAGTCAACCCTACATTAAGAAACCACGAGAAGATATATTTTAGCAATTCAAAAGATATGTTTAATGGCTGCCATATGAGTCTCCAAACAACATGGCAACAGTGATTCGGTAGTAACATTTTAACCAGATTAATGTTATACAAAAAATACAGAGAGGTATTTCATCATTATCCATCTGTGTCCTCAGACCTGGATTTAGTTGAAGGAAATGGCACCTCAAATTAGAGACTCATTCTGCTTGCTGACTGGTCTTGGGAATTAAAACCCCAAATTATAATACAAATAACTTTGCAATCATGTCCATGTTTTTGTAAGAATAAATCAACATTACAGCTGTTATCACTAAAACAATAATTGATGTTTTGTTTCTGGGGACACAGTGATGTTATGTTTGAATACAAATTCTACAAACCCTTCCTTTAAATGAAACATTATTTTATTAAAAACAATTGCTTTATTTATTATTGCTTTATTAACAGTTGCTTTATTCACAATTATAAAAACTTTTTCTATTTTACATAAGTTCAGTGCTTGATACAGTGAGTAACTCAATTAACCTGTGCATTCAGACCACACTGTCTCGCCTCTGCGTGCAGCCTCCTCCAGCTTTACTTAAAAGGATTGACCATTTGACTCTCTAAAGGTGAGAGGGCATGGACAGTGCGGAGTAGTTAAGAATATCAACGTCGAGCCTCTGCAAATATAACCTTTATAGTCCTGTTTTAGGAAAACCTGACAGGAGCAGTGAACTACCGCTGTACAATGCTCAGGAACCAGATCTCCAGATCTTGAGCTAGTCTTGGTTAGGACAACCTTAGCTGGAGCATTTGACCTATTGTGCATATTCTGGGTTGATGGTGGAAACTGGAGTGCTTGGAGAAAATTCACCCAGACAGAGAGAACATGCAAACTCCACAAAAAAGGCCCAGCAGTCAAACCTGGATTCTTACTGTGAGCCAGGTTTTTTAAATGTATTGATTCTTTTTTATTTAACCAGGTTAGTCCCACTGAGATTTGGCATCTATTCGGTATCCTGACCCCAGAAGGGAAAGGACGCCTACACAGAAATGGGGAGACACCTACACAGACATGGGGAGAAGGACCTTCCAGCTATGAGGCTCTGTTCCACAGTGCTGCCCCTTGAAGCACCCATATTCTTCAGTTGAACTAACTTGTACCGACTTAAATTTTCTCACATTTTGATCAGCTGAACTTGAAACATAAATAAATCCACATACCTTGAAGACCTCGGAGAAGAATCCCGATCCTATTTTTTCGCAGAAGAAGTCATCAATCCTTGCCAGACTGGACACAGCGCTCCTCAGGGCTCTGTAGGATGAAGGCCGGACTCGATTTGGAGCATGGATACTGTGAAGAGGAAGGTCGTCTGCCCCCATGTGACCTTCCTCTGGGTCACAGAAGCAGCATTCATTACGATAGTCCATTCTGCCAGGGGAATACCAGGACTACCACTATGCAATTTGTTTAATCTCAGACAAAAATCCAAAAAGTTAAGGTTTAGTAGTCCTTTTAGAACTGGTGATGGCGACTATGAGCGACATTGTATAGTGTAGAACTTGGCAGACTGCAGCAGCTTCCACATCACTACCAGGGCTATACCAGAAATACTACTATACAATTCGCCTAATCTTGGCCAACATTTCAAAAAGTTAGGGTTTGGTAGTCCATTTAAAATTGTTGATGGCAGATAGGAATGTCATTGTGCCAAAAAAATGTTGAAAAAAATCCTCTTTGAAGACTGTAGCAGCTTCCACATCACCAAAAAATATATATCATTATTGATTACTGTAACCAAAGCTAAACTAAAATGCACTTAGGTAGAAATCATTTTAAAACAGATTTTATAGGTCACAGTGTTAAAAAACTATGCAAAGATTATTAATTGTGAATCGAAAAATAATCCACAATATGCAGTATGTAGTAGTCGCTTCCAAGTATACATAAAACATATATAGATGAAACCGAACAAAGACTGAGAATGACTTCTTGTATTAGCAAAGAGCAAAAAAAAAATTAAGCAAATGGTGGTTGTGGTAACTAAACCGAAAAATCTTCGCTAAGATTATATATTCTGAAAATGAAAGAAGAAAATCCACTTAGCGAATAGTAGCAGGATTACACCAAGAGAGACATCTTGCAGTGTAGTTTCTTATCCTTGAAGATAAATGAACCAAAATATAAATCCATAGTCAGAACTCAAAATGGTTTAAATCAGACTTTAAAAAAAAATCTTCTGTTGATGGTTTAGCATTGGCCCGTGTCTTCACATGACATTAGTTTGGAGGGTGGTGAAGAGTATCTGTGGTCAGCTGACATCATTAGCCTGTATAAAAGCACAAAATAACAACAAAGCTGTGATAGCATGTTCAAATAAGACTTCATGTATTTCCTGTATAGGCATGGGTTTTGGCTGTGACAAAATATGGTCTGCTGGAGCTTTAGGGATAGCTAATAAGATAAAAAGTGCAAAAACTGGCCCATTATATAATTCGTCTGATATATGGGACTCTATATCCGCTGCAAAGTATCAGTGGGTCTTTATTTCTATTTATAATGCATTTAAGAGATAACAGTGTTCCCCATAGATAAATATGAGTCTGTGGTGATACAGGAAATCATTATTTGAATAAAATTACTTCTATACATTTACGAAAACAAACCAATCAAAAAGTATAAATTTTAATAGAAATTTTTGCTGAGCTTGTCTTAGACCAGGGGTGTCAAACTCATTTTGGTCCGGGGGCCAAATCCAACCTACTTTGATCCCAAAGGGGCCGGATCAGAAAACTCATGACATATAAACCCCAAAAACAGCAATAAGTTCAAATATTTGTGCAGAGAAACACAAATCTATTACAGAAATCTTTTTTTAACTGATTAACTGTTTCTTTTACAAAATATTATAATATTATGTACAAACCTGAAACTTTAAGAAAAATGCTATTTCAACACAATGTTTTAATATGAACGTGTATTCAAATAGGAATAAGTCAATTTTTCTTGGAAAATCCTGCACTCGGCTCCACTTTTCTCATTTTTGACATTTTGCTGATGAGGGTGTCACGGTCAACAGTCAAAACGATCGTCCTTTAAGAACGTTTGGAAAGAGACAAGTCTTCATTTGTGCTGCTCTGGAGGGAGGGGCCACGTACAGAGGCACTGGAGACGCTGTTATGCTAAGCACCGCAGAAAATTATCATTATTTTTATAGAAAATATGATTAAAATATTTTTGTAGAAAATCAGCCGAGGGCCACATTAAAGGTCTTGGAGGGCTGGATCCGGCCCCCGGGCCTTATGTTTGACACCTGTGTCTTAGACTATGGGGACAAAAGACTATGAGGAATGAGATCACAATTCTGTTTTACACATAAATTTTCTCTCTCTCTACTGTACATGTCCAAACCCTCTCAATCAAAATATAGGAATATCTTCAGATATTTTAATATCTTCACAATAATTTTTGTGGGCTTATGTGTACACTGCTTCTACTTCTCTGTCCTTCTTCATTGACACTGGGAATCAGGGCATTTCACATTCACTACATGCACAAAAGCTAAAATGATACTTCAGCAAGGTACTCCTTGGGCATGTAAAAATCGTCCCTATCTAACCTTATGATAAAATTAAAAATGCATGTTTTTTGTAATTAAGAATAAATCAGCATACTTCAGTAAACATCTTTGTCTGTGTTAACTGACACAGTTAGATCATATAATTTTTTAAGTAAAAATCATACTGTCCCTTTAAGTTATATACCTTAAAGTGATCTTTGTAAATTTAATGATAATAATCCATTCTGAATACATTTACTCAATTAAATGCCAATAGGAAATATTTTAATAGAATAAAACAATATATATATATATATATATATATATATATATATATATATATATATATGTGTGTGTGTGTGTGTGTGTGTGTATATATATGTATATATATATATATATATATATATATATATATATATATATATATATATATATATATATATATATATATATATATATATATATTATATATATATTAGTGCTGTCATGCGATTAAAAAAAATTGAGAGATTAATTCATTATGATCTGTAATTAATTAATCTAATTAATCTCATTTTAATCTCACCTAAAAATTGCTGAGAAAAGCCTTCAATTTGAGGTATTTTCATTTAAATTCATTATTACATTATTGTGGCAGATCAAAAGACTAATATAGATTTAAAAAGTGACTTTATAAAGTCCCAATTTGGCTGTTGAGCCCAAGTCTCCATGAATAAGAAACTGTTTGTTGTAAAGTAGCAAAGACGAGGAAATCTGAACGTAATGACTTTTGTCTACTTAAAGACAATAAAAAGTCCAGTCTTTCCTTAACCATATTAAAAATATTATTGATAGAGAAATGCTTTATATATGAGATCACTGGTTTTAGTCCTGGTTTAGACCTGGTTTAGACCTACTTTAGTCCTAGTTTAGTCCTGGAATGGATTAATCCTGATTTTAGTCCTGGTGTTAGTTGTGGTTTAGTCCTGGTTTAGACCTGGTTTAGTCCTGGTGTTAGTTCTGGTTTAGTCCTGGTTTAGACCTGGTTTAGACCTGGTTTAGTCCTGGTTTAGTCCTGGTTTAGTCCTGGTTTAGACCTGGTTTTAGTTCTGGTTTTAGTCCTGGTTTAGTCCTGGTTTAGACCTGGTTTAGACCTGGTTTTAGTTCTGGTTTTAGTCCTGGTTTAGTCCTGGACTGGATTAGTCCTGGTTTTAGTCTTGGTGTTAGTAGAGGCGCACAGGATGAAGCGCGGTTTACGCAGCGTACGCGAGAAAACACGATCCACACGCGGCTCACGGGAGCACGTCGGTGTCCGCGCAGTGTCTACGGAAGGAAACGTGGTCCGCGCGTTCTCAGGTTAATGACGATGATGAAGGTGTGTGTTTGTTTGTGTGTGTTTGTGTTTGTGTGTGTTTGTGTGCGTGTCCCCTCATGTGGCAGGTCACTATAGGACAGTAGTGCAGACATCATGAGCCTATGCAGGTTGTTTTTAGGCGATATTATATTTGTTATTTTCTTTTATATTTCACGTCGGGAGAATAATTTCCAAAACACGAATGCGTTTTTACCTGTGCACTGCTGACTCTGTTCTACTGGCTCTTCGACCTCGTCCACTGTGCGCCTGACGCCGCCAACGTAGACATGACGTTTACATCGCTGTTACTGCGCGCGTTTTGTGTGGCTTTCCGGCAATGAGTGGAATTACCGAAATAAAAAAATGTATAAATGTGTTTGTGTGTGTGTGTGTGTGTGTGTGTTGTTGTCCCAACAACACATAAAAACAGGTTTTATAATAAAGAAACTCACATACAGAAACACTAAAGTTAGAGATTAAAAATGAGATTAATATGACTGTAATTAATTAATCGCAATTAACGCGATAATTTGACACCCCTAATATATATATATAAAATTAAACTCCTTAGATGTACCATGCCATTTAAAATATCGCACTCCATTGTTGTGTGGGGTAGCCAATTGAATGCATGGCTCTATAGGAGTCTATGACATCACCACACAGCCACACACCCCTTTAAATTAGAAGATAACATACATTTTACAGCTTTATAGGACTGATGGTTATTATAGCCTATATTTTAAGACTTTGTAGATAGACCAATTCAGTGCAACGATAAATAACATCCCCCTATATATAGTAGTCCTTTAATGCTATGACCTATATATACACGTAGTACAGACCTTGTATAAACATATATATATATATATATATATATATATATATATATATATATATATATATATATATATATATATATATATATATATATATATAACTACAATATGAAAAAGTAACATAATGGTATGCCTATAAATAAATTAGCAGATTGTCTTCTTAGCGTTCAAGATTCTGCAGATTTCAATAACACGGTAATTTAATCGCGTCTCAAATTAATTTATAATAAAAAGTACAATAAACATAGCTAATTCTCGATGCATATAATAATAATGCACATTTAGTTATCTCATAATATAATATTGTAGTACGGAGATGTCTAGCTGTGCATTGGTCATAACGGGTGCTGTCAGTACCAGGCATCAGCGGGCCACGGCAGAAACACTAGACGAAAATCTCACCTCTTACGGCGGCCTGGAGGACATAGGTGGCTCGGTGTCGTTTTTGGTGGTCAAATAAAACCATTAAAATGTCGATGTTGTGGTCCGTGTCCGCTGTTGATAATCCGGTCCCGATTCCCCCGGCCGCTCGTCGGGATGTCCTCCATGAGCCACACAGACACGAGTCAAGGCGCAGGCGGAGGGGATATAAGCTTCCTGTTTGGATTTCAAAATAAAACCTGATAACCAAATCTTTAGTAAAAAGATAAGCAAATACAATGTCAAGTAAATCAAAATAACCAAGGAAAATTAGGCCAAATGTGGGAAGCATATAGTCCATTTTTTATTCATTTATTTAGAATTTATTGTGATGCATTCCCCCAAAGCCTTTAGGCTGTTGTAAAAGCAG